CATGGTGGCTACGTCTATAACTTTTACAGCCTATGATTGCAGTTTACACCTCATTAAATCCTGCGGTCACACAAGACAAAATATTGATTATGACCGCACAAGTTTAACTGCATCAGTTTGTAATTCCATCCTATCACTTGTAGGTAAAATTCCTGTGTAATGAAATGTTAACACGGCACAATTAACTGCGTCTGAAACTATGCTCATCCAAGGCACTTTGCATGGAGAGAGAAACTGCCTTCATCTGATAGTGCCCCCCCCCCCCCCTTTCATAAATCATGCACTGACGACAACAGCAAGAACAAAAAAAAATCTCTAATGGTGACTGGGATCTTTCCAGTGTAGTCTGCAATATGCTGGAAGGGGACAAAAGGAGGGCATTTTAATGGTTTAGCGGGCCAGCCCTATAAAGACACAGGGGGAGGGGATGGAGGCTCTGCCTGCACTGATCAGCCTCTCTCTGCCTATAATTACAGCCCAGTGCTGCACATACCTGGATTTTTACTATTCCTCCTGCAGCCTCAGCCACAGCTAATCAATGTCGGAGCTCCCTGCAGCCTGAATATTATGGACTGAAATGGTGCTAAAACACTTCATAACTCAGCTCAGGCCTTGAGGGGGAAAAGCATTAAGGGTGTGGCGAGACGGCAGTAGAGAAAAATCTTGGTTTCTGTGCGCGCTGCCTCATTATCATATTTTCCTCTGTAACATTACCCATCCCCGGAGGTAATTTAAATGCGATTGTGGAGCGCAAATATAGCTAGATGCTTTCTCGCTGTCGTCCATGAAGACAGAGAGGCTTCACTGCAGCAGATGCATTATGAAAGCCTGGCCTTATTGTGTTGTCATCCTTTACATAGGCTATACTGTTACCGACCATGTTTCCGGGTGACCCCGTTTGGCTCTGCTGCTGCAGGACATACTGTATGATTCTATAACATTGTAGATGGGGTGTAAAATTGGTGGGAGGACTAGATATAGGGGTAAGACAGAAAAGGAGGGAGGAGATCCAGGCTGGTTAGAGAGTGGAGGATGAGATGGTAGGATCAAGGTCAGTGCAGGTCTAAAGCTCTGTGTCGCATGGAGGGCAGGGTGTCGCTAACAGCTGCTGTGGCCTCTTGACCTGCTGCAGGGAGGGATGAGGCTGGTCCCAGCTTGTTTTTTTTTACACATTTACTGATCCACTGTTGCAGCGCAAAATAATCCACAGTGTAAGCTCCTTATCCACAGCACAATTTTGTGAAAAAGGAAGCACCAGAGCAGATTATTTGGTCCTGAGACCAGCCTTTGCACTACATAACACATTTTCCCCCATCATTACATGTTTTTAAAATAATCTTAAAAGTATGTTATGGGAAATTAATGCATCATTATCATGGCTGTATGTCAGAATTATTGGGCTGCAACCAACAACAGGTATGTAATAATTCTCTTGATTAATTGTTTGGTCAATGAAACATCAGTAAATGCCAAAAAAGATGTACATCAAAATATCACAGAGTGCTTGTTTTGTCTGGCCAACAGTCTAAAACCAAAAGATATTCAGTTTACAACCATAGAAAATAACAAAAACCACAAAATATTTACACTTTAGTCACTGGAACTTTGTAATTTTTTGCCATTTTGCTTGAAGAATTACTTCAGTGAGTCATGGGTTATCACAATATTTGCAAATTCACTTTCTTTTAACTGGATTTACCAGTTATTTGGCACCCTGCGCCACAAGGATAATAAATAGTAAATAGTAAATGGACTGCACGTGTATAGTGCTTTTCTCGTCTTCCGACCACTCAAAGCATTTTAACACTACATGTCACATTCACCCATTCACACACACATTCACACACTGGTGGCCGAGGCTACCATACATGGTGCCATCTGCTACTCAGTAACCATTCAGCATGCTCACACACACTCATTCAACACTTTGGATCACTGCTATACGCCTTTAAGAGGCAGCTGCAGACCAGAGTCGCTGCCCATGTATGGAAGGAGTGACCATGCGACCATCTTGTTAAGGTTAAGATATAGAGACAAACTATAGCACATGCCCCCAGTGATGTGAGAGATGGAGCCAATCAGAGTCTGAAGCATGTCACAAGCAGGACCCCAGAAAGTGCTTTCGAGACAGTTTGACTTAGTGGCCAAACAGTGGAATTATTATTTCAGAGCCAGTCACGTGATGCCATTGGGTCGAAAAGACTTTTTCCCTTAGACTTACATGGGGAAAGAGACATATATATAATTCATTTTCAGCCCTGGAGTTTCATGCTTCAGACTGGCCCATTTTAGATCACGACCTATTATAACCTTACATGTTAAGTCTACAGTAGTGCACTGTTCTCTAAAGCCTTGTAATGCAGTGTATTTTTCTAAAATATTTCCAATTCAGTTCAAGTAATGCTTGCTTCACAATGTAGATTTATTTCAACATGAGTGCACATCTCCAACATTATTCTTAACAACACAACATCCTTTTCAACAACATCAGAATCTATATTCTGTTCAAATAAGTAGTGCCTACTCTGGACTTGTGGGCTTATGGCTGGTGCTTGGTGCTGGATCTTGCTTCTGAGGGGCTACAAGACTAAGTTTCCCAGTTATGTGTCGTTGCATCATACTATTATTTAAATTATATAATGTTATGTTATGTTATATGTTACAATGCCACACAATTCATTGACTTGATAATTAATTAACTTGAACGGTGGTAGTTGGAGATGTATGCATAGTCAAACGCAGCTGCTGAGCTCCGTGGAGCCGTTGTCTCGACCCTCTGTCCACTCTTCTGATGAGGAGGCATGTCGGTGGTCGGGCGCCAGTGAAGGCAGTCCAGGGATAGCGGTAGCAGTATACGTGATACCCAGTGCCATGACTGAACACCAACCCAATAAAAAAAATAACTGAACACCGTGGTGGATACACCCGTGAAATGACTAGCATCACTATCGGGATTTGATCCATTCGGTTCAATAACATTTGGAAAGTCTAGAAGAACTGCAGGATTAAATAATTTTATCCCCATACAAGATAGCGGAGTGCTAAACTTCAAGTAGCCCATTTGGCTAGCTGTAACCAGCCACTAGGCTAGTGTAGTCTTAATTGTCCCTGCTCAATGGGCTGAATGATGCAGAAGATCCGGATAATTTTACACCGGCAAAGTTGAACTTCTCTGGCTTCATGTGCCACTGAGCCAACCCGGTCTCACTCCAAAGTCGTCTAAACCCGGGGCTTGGGCAGTGACTTGCGGCATAAGACACTGACGAAAGAAAGCTGTCCTTTAACAGCAGCATGATACGTGACGGGTCACCGTTATAGCTTAACTGCGCGACAGGACAAGAACAGAAGTTAAGGCAGCGAAAATCCAAGTAGGGTGACTGGGAGGGGTGGTGCATGGGTCCAAGATTATAAAGCCAAACCCTGTTCTTTTGTACTACACTTAACCATGTGCTTTTGTTGCCTAAATCCAACCACATGATTTAGTTGTTGGAGGAAAATAAAACTTCAATTTGCGTTGTTGTACTGACAAAGTGTGTTTATTTTAAAAGAGACTGTATGTAAACGTATAATTTCCTGTGAAAACAGAAGTGTATTTTGAAAGAAGACAATGCATTTAACAGGCAGAACTTGACCAACACACCCAGGGTACCTTGCATATTGTATCTGAACATGGAAAGCCCATGACCAAATGTCAATATGTGATGAGGTCAGAGTAAGAACATGTTGACTGAACAACTTTCATAGGAATGAATGAGGCTCCACCTCCAACGCTGTATCCAGTTCTCTTCATACATCCATGGTTCCAGCACACACCACTGACGTCACCAATGACATCAATGAATTCACTGAGTCTGTGGTGGATTTAATTTGTGAAACAACAAAAGCAACTGTCCCAAAAACTATGGTTAAATCGTTCCACAACCATCCAGGTTGCCATAAAAGCACACACTGCAGCCAGTCTGAAACACAGACTATTGAAAAGCAGCAGCCTCCAATGTCAGAAAAGGCAAGAAAGACAAAACTGCACCACACAAGCTGAAGGAAGTGATTAAATTGCATTTCACTGCAGTTGTACTTTGTATGACTTTATTTTGATTTGTTCTGTACACACAATTCTAATTGCATGTCTACGTGTCCTGGAAGAGAGATCACACCTCAGTTGCTCTTCCTGAGGTTTCTTACATTTTCTTGCCTGTTAAATTTTTTTTTTTTTTTTTTCCTTTGGCAAAAGGAGTTTGGACACAGGGGAAATCATATGTTGCAAAGGTCTCTGAGACAAACTGTGATATATGATATTGCGTTTTATCAATAAATTTGAAATTAATGTGACAAATAAATGATTGATTAATGTGTTTTTCAGCTCAATTGTAAGTTGTTTCAGTTGTAAGTACAGTCATATAGATAAAGGCTGTGAGTGAAAATGAAAGCGAAATATAAAGAAAAACTAAAACAAATATCAGTAAATAAGGTTGAATTTGTGACTAGAGAAACCAATCACATAATTGATGTTTGTTTGTTTGTAGGCTGTTGTATCTGGGACTGTGTTTGTGTGTGTGTGTTTGTGTGTGTGTGTGTGTGTGTGTGTGTGTGGTTTTGTGTTCCTTGAGTGTATTCTTAAAATCCACGTGTCTCGGCCATGGCCTTATTTAGCTTCTCTGACATACAAATATGACTCCCACTACAATTCCCACATTGCTTCTGAAGCGAAGGGACGCTGTGACGTCGAAAGCTAGACAAATGACTCGTGGATATTGTAGTTTACGATAAAACACTGCTCTCTATTTTTTTATATTTAACGAGCTGAGTAATGTCGCTGCCGCTCGGCGCTAAATAAATCTATCTTTTAAAATTAGTTTAAATGAAAAATCAGTCGATAATTTGAGGTGTTTATGTGGCGATTTACCGAACAACTGCCGGAGCGACTACATTTCCCACACGCCCCTGGGTTGCCGCGCATGTGCGGTGCGCAGCGGTGTCTGTGTGTGTGGAATGTAGTCACGTGGAGAAGTCCTCCTCGGCTCTGTCCAAACATTGAGCGTTTAGCAGTCTGTCTGTTGGAGCGCCGCTCGGTGCTAAACTGCTTCATGTTGTTTTTTTAGCCTCCCGTCCCTTTAAACTAGACTATTTTATCGAAGAATGAGTGATAACGATGACATCGAAGTCGATAGTGACGTGAGTATGAACACTTTTAGCCTTTTACCGATGTTATTCTTGCTAACCCGACGATTTAGCTGAACTAGCGGCTCAGCTAGCGTTAGCTACCAATAAGCTGGCTAGCTTTTTCTGTCTTGATAAGTATGTGTGTGTTTTTTGTCGGGTTTCTAGTTAAATTGATACGCAACGCTAGGCTTTGTTGCTTCACAGCATTATACACATGCTAAATTTGACTTTCAAGTGACTTCAGCGGAAGAGTGAGATGTGCTGAACAATTATGGCTACAATTGTACTTTTTGTTCTGTTTCTTTGCAGGAAGACTCGCCGAGATATCACTGTGTGGTGCGTAATGCTGGGGGGATTGTGTCCAATGTCGATAATGTCTCACTGTTATTGCAAACTTGATTTTATCCATCACATTCTGCTTATTTTTATGGTGTTTTGGGGAAGGTTACACACTTGGAGGTTGATTGAAAGTGAATGGGAAAGCACTGTTTTTTTGTGGGGCAGCTGTATTTAGGTGTAAATTAATATTTGTGCACGGCAATATACCGTCATTTTCTGTAGCTTTCTACACCAATGCGGCTTCAGCAGCGTTAGCAGTGCACTGCAGGGTATCCCCCATTCTGTGTGTACGCGGCCATAGGGAGACGGTGACACGACATCTATATTTAGACCAAAGCTTTATCCCGCTACAAAGGCTTTATTGTTGCTTGTTTATTCTTTTTTTCCGGTTAATACAAAGCTGTTTGTGTTTGGTGGCAGCCGGTTAGTCGCTCCGAGTCGTTTCCTCCCCGGTGGTTCACCTCACACCACGGGGATTCCGCTCGTGAGCTTTTTTTTTATGTGCAAATTACACATGTAGGTCATCTGAGTGACGAGAGAGCGCTTACATTTGTGCTGCATTCATGGTGATGCAGATGAGGCTTGTTGCATGTGTCGGAGGAGCGGCAGCCGCGCCTGCTGCCTGCTGCATCTCGGGTCGGACGAGCCTTCGTGTCAGGAAGGGGTGCTGCGGGATGTTTTCCTGTGTTGCAGCCGGTGATTAGAGCCATCTTCTCTCTACAGGCCACTAAAGGGCTGGCAGCCTAAATGAATGACGTATAGCTGCATCGCATGCCGGCGAGAAAAACACCCTGCACGACTCGGTGCACAACACGACGCCTCACCTCCTATCACATAACCTGAACCTGAATTCAGAAATATAACATTAATGCTAAATTGTAGAGTATGCATTAGTAATATTAAGATAGATATATCTTTTTTTAAGCTGTTGTCCTCCAATAGACCTTTCTCCCTTGATCACGGCCACTTTAGCCTCAATTGCAGAGCCACAAAACAAACTGAAACATGATTTCAGCACACTCACTGTTAGTAAATATGATAACCAAAGCTGTAAACATAAAATATGTATCTCCTGATCACTGTTTGTCTTTTATAGTCACACAGTTGCCTCCATTTCTGCATGTCTTGCCTTAAATTAATAAAAATGAAGCCTTAAAATGTGAAAAAATGGGGCTGAATAATTTGAGGAAATATCTGCCAGCTTAAATTTTCACTGTCAACTATATAAGTGATAATTACATGTCAGCTCTTCCAGTTTCAAAATTGCAATTTCAATATAAAAAACCACGTGTAATTCCGCCATGCATACAAGCATAGGAGTAAAACCATTAAGCGGTAATGGTGGGTGGAGGGTGGCAGACACTGAATGGGTTTCCCAATCTAGATAGTGGGTTCTGTTGTCGAGTTGGACAGATAAGAAACTGACCCTCGCATCTAGACACAAATTGAAATGGGTGGGGAACACTAAAGACTTGATGTATAGCGTGCATGCTATCCAACGGACTTGAGTTAGAGCCAAGACTTGAAGTCAACAGACAGACAACATTTGGGCAACAATTAAGATAAACATTAAAGTAATTTCTAACCAAAAATGTAATAAAAACACAGGTTTAGATCCTTAAATGTGAGGCTTGATATTGTTATAAATTGAATATCTTTGAGTTTTTGACATTTAGATTAAACACATTGAGTTCTGAGAACTTGCATGAGCATTTTTTTACAATAGAGTGATGCAGATAAGACTGTTTTTTGAAGGCTGATGTGAAAGTTAAGGTCGTCCTGGTCAAAATTCAGTGGGAAATCCCATTGGATTTCTTTGACGAGGGAACCATGGCGACTGTAGAGAGATGGTGAAAATGGGATTTTCCCTTTGGATTGTGGATTATTGCTGAAAATAAGCTCTGTGATAAACAAACGTTTTGTTCAGCAAGATCATCTTCACAAATGATTATCACTTTTATGTTCTTTGAGTGTAAATGCAGTCGCCACAAGTAAAACCCGAACATTAGGCTATAAACAAACTACACGACAGTCGCATGACTTCAAAGTCTGGCTGTGTTTGCTGTGATGATTTCCTGCAGTCTCATTTAGCCACTTGTGAGCAGCCACCTTTTTTAAGACATCTAAAGGCGTCAAAATTCACTTACTGATGTATTTTATGTTGTAGAGCACAACGTGAAAGTCTCTGAAGCTTGTGTTAACCACAGACCTTATTTCAGGCATCTAACCAAAAATCAGTTTAAAACAAACATTGAATTAAAGACAAGGGATACGGGAGTGCAAAGATGCTAACTCAAAGTTTTAGGTCTCATTCCTTCACCACTACTTGCTGACATTTTATAGATGAAATAATTGACAACAAAAATAAAAATATACCAATCAAAAACAAAACCAGTTGTTGTTGCAGCTCAACTTGAGCATAGCTCCACAGCAGGGAAGAACATGGTGTTTATCTTATACTTTCTACTTTATCTTTGCCACAGTGGTGTCAGTCACCTGTAGCTGGAGCTCCTGTACTATTGGTGTTTCCACCAAGAAGGTTCTCCGCGTTCTCCACCAGCCCGACAGAAGTGTAGGCTTTCATGCAGAGAATGTGAGACGGCCACCAGTGGCCGGGAAGCGGCAGCTACCAGCTCTTCCACCTGGAGCTGTTATGTAATGTGTCATGGTCAGGTATGAATAGAATTGAGGCAGCAGCTCAGCTGACGTGTCCTCTTAGGCAGCCAGCAAAAGGTATCAGTTTTATGATGAACTGATAACAGTCGCACTGAGTACAATCAGCTGTATTTATAATGCAGTTTGTTATTACTGAATCAGCTCTTGTGATTAAGCACCAAATGAGATGTTCATGTAATAAACTTTTTTCACTAAGTCTGGAATACACATATGCAAAATAACATAATTTCATGGTGAGGTTGGAAGTTGTGCAGGATTCTACAAAGTAAGTATGGAAAAATAAGTGATTTTGTTGTACAGTTTATGCCGTTGTGTCACTTACACTTCTCAGTGTGTATTAGACCATGGTACACGACATTACAAATCAGTTAAAATAATTAAATTTTAGCAATATGTATATTTTTATATCATTTAAGTATCCTGATTTACCAAGTATTTAACATGTTGGATTATCCAAAAAAGATTTCCCTGTTTGATAACTGTATCCGTCCAACAAGTGTTGATCCTGATGCATCATGTCTTGTGATCAATTTAGTTGTAGATGACGGCCTAAAAGATGGCCACACCTATTGAATACTGTACGTGTCATTTCCTGTGTAAAAGAGAACATCTGACCTCTTCCGTGAAAATCAACATTTTAATTCATAAAACTGTACAGAGGTGGCTTACCTCGACAAAAAACACTGGCAAGAATAACTCAATTCTTTAAAACAAAATGTATATATATTTATTTATAAAATAGATTTTAAAATGTCAATTCAAAGTACTGCACCTCTCTTAATCTACAAAGGCAACTTGATTTTGGGCAAGTAAAAACAGACAGGAAACAGACAGACGTTTACAAGCAAAGAAGCTGTTTAAGTTCTCAGACGCCCCAAACCGACATCAACAAACTAGAAGCATTGAAGGCCAACTGTTGCGTCGCCTCACGTTGCCCGTGACTTGGCCAAAAAGTTGCACTTCAACACACCTCAATGACTACAGCCAAGAGCTAACTAGTGTGTATGTTCTGCGCCTGCCTGAGAGGAAATAACTTCATTCCAGCAGACGATGGTAGTCTGTATTAATATTCAAAAAGGAAAACCAGAAGAATCACAGGATGAATTCAAGACACTAGTTGGCCTGTTGGCACATTAACAACCGAATCCTAAGGTTATTCACCGTGTGTTAGTGAAGAACAATCCATTACAAACCGTAACTGCTGAAGAGCTCAGTGGCTAAAAGTTTAATCTTACCTGACATAACATGTTTGTATTGATTTCACACCCTCTTGACTTAAGTGGTTTGTTTGCTTTCCTCACTTCCGTTTCTCTTCTTGTGCACGGACTTAAACTGCCAATCAGAGTGATTTCTATTACTGACAGACTCTGCTATCACCAGAGATAATTCACCGTGCTGAATCGGCCGAAAAACAGCTGATAAGGGCAAAAAAAGTGCGAATGGTGTGGGACACACCGCAGAAACTAGGGCATCAGACGCTCACCAAACTGGTAGGCTATAAACCTTATATCCAACCTGACCTGGTATGTAAAGAAAAAAAAAAGTCATGATAAAATAATGATAAAAAATGAATAAGGAAATTGTCCACATGGCAGATATGCAGCTAAGTTTTGTGCCAAGCTTCAGATAGAGCACAGACTTGTCCTCCAGCTCCTTGTTCACCAGGCTGATGGCCTCTGGGTTGAATGACGCTCTGTGCCTGTTGGTAGAGCACCTGGGAGGTATGAGTGTTGCCTGAGAGGGAGTATCTGGAACCGGGGTGGAGCACATGGGCACTACTCCATGATGTCATGGGCCTTTGCCCTGACCTGCTCCTCACAGAATAAGGCGAAACTCCAGAGGGGCACTCCAGTTATTTTGTCAAGCCGTTTTATCATTATAGGATCATTTTATTAAAGACTACTGGATGATTCCACTTGTAAAAGCTTCACAGTATTGACATGTAGAAGTAGCTGATTACAGAGTGTTCACATTAAATCACCCTGGGGCACTTAATACCCATAATGGAGCGGCTCTAGGGAGCTGTGCTTAAATACATGTTTGCATCATAATTACCTTTTTAAAGATGAGTGATATTAAGTACAGTGCCTCATAAATGTGTGTGCGTTATGTAAGAGTTAAAACAAGTCAGCTGATGCTCACATCCTCTCTTAAGACCTAGGCATACCAAACTGGTATAAAAAACATGTGGCGACGGAGGCTGACTGTTACATTGCCTCACGTTGCCTGTGTCTCACCATGAACACACCATGACGACTACAGCCAAAAGCCAACTGGCATGTACGTTCTCCGTCTGCGTGAGAGGAAATAACTCTTGTCTG